GTATGAAAACAGAACAAGTTTTTTTCTGGGCGCGGGGCTCATTTATATGATGACCCCCGCTTTGGGGCAATTTTTTTTTTCCCCCTCCCCACCAAGGGGGCCTTTCCCCTGGCTTAAACCCTCCACCCCTTTAAAAAACGGTTTTGACTATAACAATTTTTCCCCGGTTTCCCTTTTAAGATGCGTGTGTAAAGGGACCCAAAGCGCATTTCGTAGAAAAAAACCTCTTCAGGTTTTTCACACTATGATAACTCTGTTTCCCCTGCCAAAGTTAGTGGCGTGAACGCAAAACAACAGAAAAGACAAACTATTTTTTTTTCAAATTTATTTCCTTTAACCAGGTTATCTACATACCGGATTATACCGTTCTCAGGGTTTTTAATCCCAGGAAAAATTGGCATGTAAGTTTTATTTACTTCCATTAAGGGGAACTCTGATTCGGAACCCCAAGATCCTACTACAAGGCTTTTTTAAACCCCAACCTCTTACCTCAAGGTGACCGTTTCCTTTTCGATCCACCCCGGGGCTCAAAACCCAGTGTCATTTCGGGTTGTTCGTGGAACCCCCATCAATTTAACTACAAGGGCCAACCGGGGGGCGATCTTAGTCCGTAAGGACAAAATTTTTTTAAAGGTTTCACAAACCGGGGGGGGTTTCCGGCCTCTCGCGCAAGAAAGAGAGAGAGAGAGAGAAGAGGGGGAAAAGAGGGGAAAAAGAAAAAGAGACCAAACCCGGGTGTGAGAGTGGGACAAATAACATGCAATTTGGCACCTCTGCCTAAAACCTCACACGAGCGAATTTTTAACCTCCGGGGAAAGGGATCATTTAGACATTTTTTTTTTTGCCTTTGCAGAGCCCAAATTTTGGGGCTTAATAAAGCTGTGGCTGGCCTTTTAGAGGGGAAGTGAGCTGGGAAAAAATGGGGCAAATTTTGGGCATGGTACACGAAGAGGGAAAGGGGATTTTAAACCGGGGCCCAAAAAGTTGAGGGAAACTGTCCGAGAAAATTGGAAATTTAAAAATGCTAAAAAGGGTAAAAAAGGGTTAAAAAAAACTGACTGAGAGATTAAAAACTTTAAAAAAAAAATGTCTGCAATAGTTTTTATGGATATCCGCCTTTCCCCAAAACATCCGCAAAAATTTTTTACATCTTCACCCAAAACCCCTTTTAAAAGTAAACAATAAACCCCCATATCATCCGCAATTTCCAACCGGGAACACCGCATAGTTTCTTAAAATCCTCATCAAAATCCGCGGAACATCTGCCAATTTTTTACAAACCGCATCTGCAAAAAAAGTAAGACATCCTCATACACATCCGCATCTGGGGGATATCTAAATTTTTACATCCGATATACCTGTCTGAAAGACTAAAAAAAGTTAAAAAAAAAGCCTTTCTTTTTAACAGTTTAAAAAAATTTAAGGTTTTAAATGCGAAAATTTAAAAGGGTTTAAAAAAGGCTGAGTAAAAGAGGGGGAACGTTTTTGCCCTTTTTTTCTAATTTTTTAAAGAAAATTTTCCCCTGTGAATTAAGCAGCAATTTTAAACCTACACAATGTGTTTCTTTTTACGTTTTTTTTCCCTTTTAGTTAGATAAAAAAAATAAAATTGCTATATTCATAGGGCTTTTCAAGAATAAATTTTTTTTACCAAATTTGGTAAATATAAAAATGTTCCCAGTTGACATCAAAAAGAAAGATAGAGTTAATAATCATCCTAGAGAGAGAAATGAGCGAAAGCAAAATATTACTTATACAAAATGTTAAATTTTTTTTTTTTTTTTTTTTGGGGAAAAAAAAACCCATAAAACAAAAGGTAAAAACAAAACACAAATCCCCTCTCTTGATTATAAACAATTTTTCCCAAAACGTGTGAAAAACCATGATGCTCCTATAAAAACTCTTCGCAAAAAAAAGGGAAAATAAAATAAATCTTATTCCGAGTTATTCACATATAGGTTTTCCATGAAACTCTAGGGGGGGGGGCGCGCCACTTTTTCACCCACCATCGAACCCCCCCTCAGGGCGACCAAAATCGTGAGGTACAAGTGGGGTGTGCAGTGATCACTAGTGATCAGGAATCCCAAACAAGTAATTTGCAAGAAACAATCAAAAAAATTTCGTAATTTCTGGAGAAAAAAAAAAAAACCCGAATTGGCACCTGTCGTCTGATGACCTCAGCAACAAAAAAAAAAAAAAAGTTTAAAAAGATACAAAAATTGCTAAAACAAGCTATTAATAAAAAGATGCACTTTTTTTTTGTAAGAAAACTTTTTTTTTTTTTCAAATTTTTAATTTTTTCAGAGATATCTCCCCGAACTTTCCTCCCCCCCTTAAAAGTTTAAAAAAGGCTGACTACAAGACAAAAAGCCAAAAAAAAGGGCTGACTGCGAGTTTAAAAACGTTAGAAAAGGCTGACTGAGAGACTAGAAATTTTTTAAGTTTAATATTTTCCCCTCATTTTCGGGGCTAAAAACGTTTTATTACTACTGCAGATATAAACTTTAAAAACTTTTTACCAAACCACTTTTTTTTTTAAAATTTTAAGCAATATGCTGGTAGTAATAATTTTGGGTAGAAACCGACAATATGTTGGGTTTTTAAAACCCAACATATTGTTCGGGAGATTGTACAAGAAGAGAAGCATTTTTAGACGTAAAGAGAATTTTTTATTTGTGAGGGTTCGTGGGGCTAACAACCCCAAGACCTGGGTTTAACCCTGGGCGAAAGAAAGTATATCGACCCCTTTTTTTGTGCTCCGTGTTCCTCGAGTAGAAAATGGGGAAAGACACATGTGACAATAAAGATACCCAAAGTCTTGACATGTGCTTTATTCATAAATTTTCGATAGAAAACTAGGCCGGACGATACCTACTGTTGTGGTGGATGACAGTATACACAATAATAGCTATCAACTGCTAAGTATACCAGGTAAACTCAATGAAAGGTGGTGGCATTGACAAGTGCTCCTGCATACCCTTCACATTAAAAATCCACACGGGTTTACGTTATCTGCGACGATACTACTGCTAGTACACTATTGCACTACACACTACAATATAAAATAACTGAAAAAGACCCATCCCTTTTAATGGGGGCTTGATTTTTTGGGAAGGTAAATTCGTCAGGAAACAGGACAAGTGTTTTTCCCGACGCTGGCCCCAGTCATATATGACCCCCCCACCGACTTTTGGGCATCTACCAGGCCTTCCGCTGGGTTACCTGTCAACCCTTTAAAAACTGTTTAAATAATTGATGCTGGGGAAAATCCCGGGGAATTTCATCCCTCTCTTTTTTTTTCAATATATTTTTGTTTATTTCACGACTTACAAATAGATTACATTGCTGTCACTTTCAAAACCCGAAGGTTTTAGATAAAATCCACAAATTTTAAAATCGTATTGCGTGGGAAATTTTAAATTCAACCCGGATGCGGGAATAAAAATACATTGAAACAAAACTGTTTATTTTGGTTTGGACGTCTCGTTGCTTAAAAAAAATTTGTAAGATACCTTTCCTCTCAGGGGGAACCTTGATGTTGCTTTGTCTCGTGAGTCAAGGGAAATTTGAGCTACCCTTCCCTTTAATCCAACCTGAATACCTCCATTCCCCCGGCCGTGAACCCTACGGGTTTTTCGTTGCCTCCAAATACATTAATAAAAAATCGGTTTATAAAAAAAAAACTGCCAAATAAATTTAATGACCAACAGTTTTCGTTTACACTGTTTTACTTTGACGCTAACACCTGTTTTCAGGGCAACACCTGTTATTAGGAATACTTGTTATCAGCCAACACTTGTTAACAGGCTAAAACCTTTTATCAGGCTAACACCTGTATTAGGCTAGCACCTGTTATCATATTTCAGCTCATTTTAAACCCCAAGCTTATCAAAAGATAAACAAAGGTAAGGAGACCTGGCCAGATGTCCCCCGCCCTCCCAGGATTGAGTCAAGGTCCCTCTGTTGTAGGCTGCAGGCGCTACCACTGAGCTACGAGCCATTATTATGCCCACAAAAGAGTTTCTGGTCCATAATAAACTAAGGAGCTTATAGAAAGTGAAGCATTTTGGTCCTGAGGAAGAGTTAGGAGCCTCTAACTTAGGGGAGAATCTCCTTGATGGAGGTTTTTCTCACCCAAAATCCACTTCAGAGCTCGGAGGAGGAAATTAAACAAGAGTGCAGAAAGAAGTGCCGGTGCAAAACACTGTCTTCCCTGGCACTCATTTTACTCTGCGTTTAATCTTTTATTTTCTCTCTTTTTTTTTTAGCATACTCCCACATACAGGGCGAGAGTGCTAGGGAGAAGGGAATGTGGGGACGAAGAAAAGAGGTAGGGAGGACGAAGGTGTGAGGAAGGAGTGATGTAAGGGAGGAAAGAGTGTAGGGTCGGATAGAAGGTAAGAAGGAAGCCTTAGGAATTACAAAGCACTTAGACCCAAAAGGCCATTCAGCATTTTTGACACATAGTTAACGATAAAACTATAATTACATATGCTGCCAAAATACTAAAAAAAACTTAACCAGAACACAATATTACGACATGTTACATAATTGATGCATAATACAATGTTCAATGGCAAAAGAAGACTCAGAAAATTTCCTCTAAGTCATGCAATATCCAGGTAATAATAAAACCATAACTGAGATGAAAAGGCTAATACCGTGGGTGAAGAGTTAAAATGTGCTCCATAGTCAGCAGCACGCTATAAGTCACCAGCGAAGAGGCGGGGCCAGGAGCTGTGACTCCACCCCTGCAACCACAAATAGGTGAGTACAGTGAGAGCAGGAGCACCAGCAAGCAGGTGACCTCAGATGGGCGAGGAGTGTGTGGCTCATCCTCCTACAGAGAATGTCTTAATGATGATTCTCATTGAAAAAGGCAAGCCAAACGCTAGGTTGCAGGAATGAAGAGAACTAAAACACGCACATCCTGGCTAGGTTGCATTAACGAACGATAAATGTCAGACTTTCTATAACTTGTTGCTCGTAGCCGTCTTCACCTCAGGATCCTCTCGTTCATTTCCCAGGCTCTTGCCAGGTCCCGAACACCAAGAGCCGCATGTCCTTGTGCTGGACATGAATACAGGCTAGTCTGTCCTGGATCTTCGAAACCACAGGATAAAACGAAACATTCGACAGGGCCAACGGAGCACAATGGAAGCCTTGAGTACACAGATAACCGGTACTTACATTGACTATCTATCAAGAGGAGAGGAGACGGGAACAAGGGATGCTTGAAGATGTTTAACGAGCACAAAAGCGTTTAGCAACTTGGCACAATACGAGTCCTCATGAACAATCACCGTAAAGGAAAAGCCACAGTCACTCTTTGACCCATCAGACGAGAATCTTGATCCATAAAACAAGAAATGAATCCTGATATGGGGAAGAGGGAGTGTGGGAGAGAAAGGGGTGTGAGTGAGGAGAGAGCGTTTGGGAGAAAGGGGTGTTAGGGAAGAGAGTAAAAGAGAAAGGACTAAAAAGGCGACATGAAAAAAAATAGATATTTTATAAAAGTAATCTTGAAGCTACACTGTCCCACTTAAACTGCAGTTACATAAACATTAAAACAAAGAGTTTGTAGTCCAGTGGTTCAGTTGGGAGCGCACTCAGCCCACACACTGAGGGATCCATGGTTTGATCTCCGACAGGCATGGATGGAAACATTGGGTATGTTGCCTTATAACTGCATGTTCACCTAGAAGTAGGTACCCGGGTGATAGTCAGCTGGCGTGGGTGGCACCCTGGGGATGGTAGTATACCTTAGGGCTGGGCTCTGAAATAATCTGAGGTGGGACAAGAACTTAGCCTAGAAAACTGATTTGTGGAAAAATAAAAATAAAGGTTTTCTATTTGTACCACAAGAAGCTTAATACAATGTGAAAGTTGACTTTTTATACCACTTCCCCCTCCCCTCCATGATAGTCTCCTCCCCTCCATGATAGTCTCCTCCCCTCCATGATAGTCTCCTCCCCTCCATGATAGTCTTCCCTCCATGATAGTCTCTCCCTCCAGTATCCCTCCCCTCCATGATAGTCTCCTCCCCTCCATGATAGTCTCCTCCCCTCCATGATAGTCTTCCCTCCATGATAGTCTCCTCCCCTCCATGATAGTCTTCCCTCCATGATAGTCTCCTCCCCTCCATGATAGTCTCCTCCCCTCCATGATAGTCTCCTCCCCTCCATGATAGTCTCCTCCCCTCCATGATAGTCTTCCCTCCATGATAGTCTCCTCCCCTCCATGATAGTCTTCCCTCCATGATAGTCCCTCCCTCCATGTAGTCTTCCCTCCATGAAGTTCCTCCCCTCCCTGATAGTCTTCCCTCCTGATAGTTCCTCCCCCCCATGATAGTTTCCCTCCATGTAGTCTCCCCCCCTCCATGATAGTTAATCCCCTCCATATGTCTCCCCCCTCCATG